CATTTGCTGACCGGGAGCTTGTACGACTGCCTGTGGTGGCGCTCCTCCTTGCGCCATCGCTCCTCCTTGCACCAGGGACGAATTTGGTGGCGGTGGCGGTGGCGGTGGCATCGCCGCCGCGGCTGCTACGCGAGCTTCCTAGGCCCGGCTGGAGTCGGCGTCTCCTCCAGGAATCGCTGTCGTTGTTCCCACACCTTAAAGGATAGGTGTAGAAGTGATCGACGTTTGCGATGGGCCAGAAAAACCCGGAGGAGGGCCATGTTCCAGCGGCCTGGTCGTCGTCCAAGCTTCGTCGAACGTCGAATGCAGGTTCTTGGGAATTCCGTCCGCCATAGCTGAGCTTCAAACACAATTTCTTAAACGAAAGTCCCCACAGATGGTGCCAATAATGCAAGCGTAAGCGTCCTAGTTCGGTTTGGAACGGATCGATCTTTGTCCTCGCCGTTAGAACGCCAGAAAACTGCAAGTAACTCTCACACCGGGGGTTGTGTCCGGTGAAGAGCCTCCGATGCTTAAGTCAGTATGTGTATGAGTATACTGAAAATGAGGAATGAATAGAATGTGTCTAGGGAAAAAGGCTCAGATAGACCGGTTTAACCTTGTGTAGATTATATCCTATATCACTACCAATAGTAAGTCTAGTTTCCAGTGGCATCTTCGTCTTGGGCATGCGTCTTCGGATAAAGTTCGTTCTTTATATAATAAGGGTCTTCTGGGTTCAGGTCATTTGAGTCTTTTAGTTGTCTTCATTGCAAACTTGGGAAACAGTCGGCTCTTTCTTTTTCTGATAGTTTGTCAACTGCAGATAAACCTTTTGGTTTGGTACATTCTGATATTTGGGGTCCTTCTCCTGTTGCTTCTCTGAGTGGTTTTCGGTATTTTATTATTTTTGTTGATGATTTTTCTCGTTTTACCTGGATCTATTTTCTCAAAAATCGTTCTGAGTTGTCCAGCATATATGTTCAATTTGCTAAAATGATTCTTACACAATTTTCTTTTCCTATAAAGGTCTTGCGTACTGACAATGCTCTTGAGTACAAAGATTCTACTTTTTTGAAATTTCTTTCTGATCAGGGCACCTTAGTTCAACGTTCGTGTCCATATACTTCCCAACAAAATGGACAAGCTGAACGTAAGCACCGTCACATTCTTGATACTGTCCGTGCTCTTCTTCTTTCTGCTCAGTGTCCTGATCGTTTTTGGGGTGAGGCAGCCTTGACTGCTGTTTATGCTATCAATCGATTACCCTCATCAGTCATTAGGGATGTCAGTCCTTTTGAGAGGTTGTACGGTCAGTCTCCTGATTATACTCAGTTATGTCCTTTTGGTTGTGCTTGCTTTGTTCTCCTCCCGTCCCATGAGCGACCAAATTAGAACCCCGAGCTCATCTGTGTTGTTTTTTGGGTTATGGGGTAGAACACAAAGGATTTAGGTGTTGGGATCGATTTCTAATAGGTTGCGTATCTCGCGTCATGTTACCTTTTGGGAGCATACTACTTTTTCCACCTTGTCTAAGTTCCACATTCCATTTGATTCGGCGTCTCCTTTATTCATGTCTATTACTTCAGATCTTTTTCCAGATGCAGATACAGGTTCTGACTCTCAGCTCATTGACACACTTGTCATGCCTCCGTCTTCTGAAGTGGCTTCACATGTGCATCCTGAACCGACGGTTAGTAATGAGCCCTCTTCTGGTTCTGTACTTTTGCCAGCTATTGATCAACAACGGTGGACTCGTGTAAGTCGTTCCCCTTCTCACTTACTTGATTATCATTGTTATTCGGCCATATTATCTCATCATGAGCCTAGGTCTTTTCGTGAGGCGAGTATTGATCCATTGTGGCAACAAGCTATGGCTGAGGAATTGCAGGCCTTAGACAAGACTCATACTTGAGATCTAGTTGATCTACATGCTGGCAAAAAACCCATCGGATGCAAATGGGTTTACAAGATCAAAACAAATTCAAATGGGTCTATTGAGCGCTACAAAGCTCGTCTTGTTGCTAAGGGTACTCACAAGAGTATGGCATAGATTATGAAGAGACATTTGCACCGGTTGCTTGTCTTACTACTGTACGCTGTTTACTTGCAGTTGTTGCAGTTTGTCGATGGTCTCTTTTACAGTTAGATGTTAAGAATGCCTTCTTGCACGGTGCATTATCTGAGGAGGTTTACATGACTCCTCCTCCTGGGTTCTTGTCCTCTAGGAAGGTTGTCGTCTGCGTCGAGCTTTGTATGGCTTGAAACAAGCGCCTCGTGCCTGGTACACCACGTTCAGTTCTGCATTGTTTCAGTTTGGTTTCACTACGAGTGATCACGATTCTGCCTTATTTCTTCAGCGCTCTTCATCTGGGGTCATTGTTTTGTTGCTCTAGGTTGATGATCATCACAGGGATGATGTTTCGGGTATTTCCGACTTACAGGATTATCTTCGACAACATTTTGAGATGAAGAGATTGGGTCGTCTTCGCTATTTTCTGGGTCTTGAGATTTATGATTCCTCTGATGGCTTCTATTTGTCTCAAGCCAAGTATGCCTCTGATCTTCTTTCTCGGGCCGGTCTCACTGATTGCCAGACAGCTTCCACACCTCTTGATTATGATATTCGTCTTACTCCATTGGATGGTTCTCTTCTTGAGGATCCTACGTTATATCGCCAGCTCGTTGGGAGTTTGATATATTTGACTGTCACTCGGCCTGATATAGCTCATGCTGTTCATATTGTGAGTCAATTTATTGCTGCTCCGAGAACCACACATCATTCTGCTGTGTTGCACATCCTTCGCTATGTGAAGGGCACCTTATTGCATGGTTTACATTTCTCGACCAGTTCTTCCTTGTCCCTTAGCGGCTACTCTGATGCAGATTGGGCTGGAGATCCTACCGATCGTCGCTCCAATACCGGGTATTGCTTCTTCTTAGGTGATTCACTTGTCTCTTGGCGCAGTAAGAAGCAAACCTTGGTTTCCCGTTCGAGTGCCGAGTCTGAGTATCGTGCTCTTGCTGATTCCACCGCAGAGCTATTATGGTTGCGTCGATTACTTGCTGATCTTGGTGTCCCTCAGTCATCCTCTACTGCTCTTCATTGTGATAGCCAGAGCGCTGTCAAGATGTCTCATAATGATACGTTTCATGAGCGTACCAAACATATTGAGATTGATTGTCATCTTATTCGCCAGCATGTTACCCATGGGATTGTACGACTTATTTCCGTCTCCTCTTCGGATCAGATAGCGGATGTCTTCACGAAGTCTCTCCTTCCCGGTCGCTTTTGTTTACTTCTTAGCAAACTCAAGTTATATCTACTATACCACCTTGAGTTTGAGGGGGGTGTTAGAATATATTTTGTATATATGGTTATAATATATTTTGTATATATCTTGTAGGATTAGGTTTAAGCTCATTATGTTCCTATATATATGTGTACATGTCTTGTGAATAATATAGAATATATATTTTTTCCAAAAAATTTAATAAAACTGTTTAATTTTTCCACATTTTTATGTTACAATCCAATATTTTTTTTAAATGAGTAACTGAAACTTAATCAACGATGTGCTTAATGTAATGGTTAATTAAAGTATAATCATATTTTTATTATTATATTATGTATTATTTATTACTAAAACTAGCCAATTATAATTCACTCACAGTAAATGATGCATGGAAGTTCAATAAGCATATAAAATTATACTGCAATTTTATTATTACACTTTTTTTTTTTTGCTTTTAAACATTTTTTTGATACGCTAATTGGTTTTAGTGGTGTAACCAAGCCTCTTAAAATTTTTTAAATGATGATAATGATAATAATAATAATAATAATAATAATAATAATAATAATAATAATAATAATAATAAT